TGCCTGGGCCTTGCCCAGGTTCGGCTCCCCTGGGCCTCAGGGATGCCCGTCCTGGAGAGGACGGCTGGGCAAGGTCGGCCCTGGCGCCCGGCGCCAGCCATCACTAAACTTCATCAAGCACTCCTCGGTGTGACCCACCTGGGCGGCCTGGGCCCAGCCTGCCCCACAGACCCTGCTCCCCCCTGCACCGTGAGAGGTTTGGCCCAAGTTCCCTTGAATCTCTGCCCTGGCCAGGAAGCCAGGCACCACTCAGGGCAGACAGACTGGCAAGCAGCGCTTTCTGGCTCCCTGCCTCTTCACTAAATCACTCCCATTTCTCTCAATTCATGAGATGTTTATATTTCTGAAAAGTGGTGGTTAATTCGAAAGCACTAAAATCAAATCAAATTTGGGGATAAGAAATCAAGAATAAGGGAGAATATAAACTCTGGTAGGCCGGAAAATAGAAGCCAGCCATATCTATTTTCACCAACTTTTTTGCAAACAGTTCAAAAGTAGGAAATACACCCTGGAAAGGCTCTTCATGCAATAAAAACAAAACAAAAAAATCATTGATGACATGCCATGGAGCCACATGCCACACGGCCCTCAGCCAGTCTCTCCATGAGCGGGCCCGGCCACCCCAGCCTCGATCTAAACTCCCTTTCATGTGGCCATTCTTTGGTGTCTTTCCTGGGCGGTGGGTGGCTGATTGGGGGTCAGGGTGAGGAGGACTGTTTGAATGTTCCGTTGTCACTGGTGCATCGTTTGATCCAGAGGCCTCCGGGCCACACTCTCGGAGGTTTTCCATTCCAGGCTCCCCTCAGGGAGGCCCCAAGTCCAGGGAGTAATTCCAGGGCACTGAAGAAGACCTGGTCACATGGTCAGTGGAGAGGTGAGGGCTGGCTTAGACATCCCCTTGTGACCTGCTCTGGGCCTAACTGAGCAAATTCAATCGGCCACCAGTCAGTAGATGTCTACTGGCAGAATGAAGTCCCAAATACAGTAGCACAGAGTGAAAGCCAAGTCATTTTGAGATCTGTACATGCGTGCACATGCGTACACGCAGATGTGTTCGCTTCTAAAGCTGCACATGCGTGCTTGTCAATCGGGAAGCAAGGGTGCACCGAGCCAACCAGCAGACCTCAAGGGAGGCCAGAGGAAGAGATCCACGGGGACCGGAAACCTTGTCGGATGGACCAGAAGTCCAGGCTTAGACACGGGGGCCTCTAACTGTGCCCTCAGGGGCAGAGACAATGAGGAAGGACAATCTACAGTCCAGATAGGTCCAGATGGCTCTGAAAGGGTAGCCACAGGCCCTCTAGGAAGGGGCGTCCCGAGTCCCCTTGCTGTCCCCTTGGGCGCCCCAACCTTCCCCATATACCTAGAGAGGGGACCCATTTCAAGACGGCAGTCCGTGGAGCCAATCACGGGGTGGGCTGGGGCTCCTCCTCTTCCTCCTCGCCTGGCTGGCTTATCTTGTGCCTCCCAGAAGAGAAAAAGCTGGAAAAGCTCCCTGCTAGCCTGCCATCCTACCACTGCCCAAGGAGAGCCATCCCTCCTGAACTCGGTCCAGAAACTTCATCACGAGGGTCTTATTGCCACCGGGAACCCCGGGCTGGCGGTGCTGTCCCGGGTTCTAAGCTTCCAGCAAATCTAGCCTTGAAGCTGCTTCCTCTGAACAAAGGAGAGGAAGCTGGAGTGTGGGGTGAGGAACAGAGATGGTTTCCACCGGGTTCCTGAGGGGCGGGCGCTGGATGTCCCCCACCCAGCACCCTGCATCTCTCCCTGCCACCTCCACCTCACTCTCTCCCTAGACCATGTGTCTCCTGCAACTGCTAAAACCTCGGCCACCTTGACTGCAGTGCCTCCTTGCTTCCCACCACCGCCTGGCTCACTCGACCCAGCACAGCTAGCCCCCTCCCCCACCAGGGCCTCACCCCCTCCCCCATCAAGGCCTCACACCTCGAGTTCCAAGATTCTCATAGAACACCCATAACTCTCTCCCCCAACCCATCCTGCTCCCCCAGAGAAGCTCCTCTGCCCTGGTCCAGCCAACCACACCACCCTACTCGACGGTCACACATTGACGGAGGTGACACACGCAGATATCCTCGGCTCTCACCTGAAACCCAACCACACATCGCACGTGGGCATGACGCTGGCTGGGGTCCTGCTGCATTCCTGGGGTCCGTGTCCATTCCAGGTCTCCCAAATGGCCAGACTCCCAGCACTGCCCCAGCCCCAACTCCAGGGCTCCCACCACCTGACTAGGAACAGCCCTCCCCCACTGGGCCCTCCTCCTGCACCCTGTGCCCAGGGCCACCTCCCTCTCGCCTCCTCAAGGGCTCAGCTCCTGTAGTCAGTACCCCTCTTCCCAGCATCACATGCTGTCCCCTGCCCCTGCCCCGTCCCTGCCCAGCTGCCACCCCAGTATACCACCTGCCTCCACACCCCCTCCCTCTGTGCCCCTCTACACACCCCAAGTGACTTTTAGAGCCACTACTTCCTGCAGGCTCCTCACCTGTGACCACTACGTGACCAAAGCTAGCGATCACTTATTTTTCTGGTCTCCTCTAACCACACACTCTCCTGGGCATTGCTGCAATCCTGGCTTAAGAGACTAGGTGTTCGCAGGTGATTCCCAAATTACATCCGCAGCCCTGACGGAAGTCCTTAGGTGATCATCCAACAGCCCGTGGTGGAGTCCTGGTCTCCTTGGAAACTGGTGTGACTCCCAGACTCACTCCTTTCCCTGTCTTTCCCAACTCTGCAAACAGCACTACCCTTTTCCTGCTTGTTCAAACCAAAACCAAGGGGGAAACGTGAGCCCCGGGATCAAATCCCCCAACCTCTGGTGGTTCCTGCAAATGGGTTCAGCTGAAAACAGCACCCAGCGTAAACTGCAGGGTGCAGACCCCCCGAGGGGTCAGGCTGGGCTGCTGTCTGTGGTTCAGGACCAG